TTATGGAGTTTAGTGTAAAAGTACAAATGCATAGTGATGGTGGAGTTTATGTAGCGGAAAGCTTTTCCTTTCATCACTTACCATGTTCATAGCTTCAATTGGAATGTATACTGAGATACTAAGTCCAAGTCTTTTTGGAGTCTGCACCTGTTAATGTCTGAAAACAGGTTCAGGGGAAGGACAGAGGGAGGGAATTTGATTGGGCCTTTCGATCAGTTTATGGTTTGAATTTATTTCAATGCCAGCAAAACATGAAGTTATTAAAACAGTGCATGTTTCAAAGACTCTTAAAGGAGGCATCGACACACATTCAGGAGACTTAAAACAGTTAAAATCCGATAAGTGCAACTCTAGTTTAATCATACAATTTTGGATGAATGAATTGATAAAGACTCCATTTTATTTTAGCATTTTTCTGCAAATATCATAAATTCTTAAAATTGTTTAGTTAGATCAGCCACAATTCCAACTATGAACAAAAAAGGGGAGAATTCAAGAAAACTTGGAAACACAAAGGTGTTCCGTTCTAATGTCAGACAAATTAAATAAAATGAGCTACAACATGCGACAGAAGTGAGATGCACCACATTCTGCTGACACAATTTGCATGAAGGCTCAAAGAAGCCTTGCCCTGAGGATGAGGAATCTGGCACAATGCAAACACATTCCCTGCAGGGATTCAAATGTGTGTTGACTTTGGATGGCAATGGGAGCATAAAGAAAGAACTGAGCAAGTTCTGTCAGACATTTGAAAGATGTTTCTTCAGCAATTACAAAGAGATTTCTTGCAATTGTAAATTGTACTAGTTATTGAAAAAATACCATTTGCAAGATACTTTACATAATTAAAAAACCTCTACATGTTTTAATCATCAATAATTTGAAAACAAACAGTTCCAAAAAAAAAAATCCTATCAAATTATTATCTGTCAGGATAACATAATAACTCATAACTCATAACATAAGGGAAAACATCTGCCGGCTGTGCTAAATTTCACTCCTTAATAGCTCTGTTGACAACAGAACTGTAAATTTGTAGCATCAAATATATTTGCTGATTTAACATAGTTTGTTGAAAGTGCTACTACATATAAAAAGTATCACACAAATATCTATTTTAGTCTTGTACAAAATTACTTGAACAAAAATGTCCACGCTAAAGCTCAAACAAATGTTCCCGCTTGTGACATGCTAAGTAATCCTTTAAACAGCCACTAAAGTTCATGCAGTGGTGTAGTCACAGCTGACCCTGGGTCAGCTCTACTTGAACCCACAGACTGACTTTTCTGAGCCAAGTAATCTTTATAGTTCCTGGTTAGTAGAGTGTAAAGAAATGGATTGATACAGCTGTTCCCATAGGTGAGACATGTGACAAAGAAATTCACATAATTATGGGCTGCTGGAGACAGAGATCTGAGAGACTCTAGAGAGAATAGTTTAGCTAGCTGCCATCCCCAGAAAGGCAAGAAACAAGCCCAGTAAGCCACAACAATGCAAAATATCATTGATACAACTTTTTGTTTGAGTCCTCTCCTCCTGGCCGACCGGCTGCTTCCTCCTAAGCTAGACTGTGCCGCCCAGTAGCGCCTAGCGAGTCCCACATACAGCCCGACAATGACCAATCCAGGAACCAACACACTTGTCAAAAATAGAACAGTGATATATGCCTTGAAGGCCTCAGGAGTCCATGTAGGGAAGCAGATCCTCTTAATCAAACCAGACGCAGTTGGTTTACCCTCCCTGAGGTGTATCATCACCATCATGGGAAGCGTTAGCACGAAAGCTACCCCCAGATAACCCCTGCAACTAGCTTCCGATTGCGAGAGGACGACCTGTGGGCACTGAAGGGTGTAGCCACCGCACGGTAGCGTTCCAGACTCATAGCAACCAAAATGAAGACGCTTGCGTGCATTGTGAGAAGGTCGAGACTCAGCAGGATACGACAACCTGCCTCCCCGAACAGCCAGTCATGGGCGAAGTAGGTGCAGACCACGAAGGGGATGGTGGAAAGGTAGAGCAGGTCTGCCAGTGCCAAATTGATGATGTAGACATACATGAACCTGTGCGTCGTAAAGCGGCTGATCGAGTAATAATGAGTGTGTAAGTGTTGCCCGCTACACCCATGGCGCACATGACCATCAGTGTGGCACCCAAAAGGGAGGTAACCCAAAGGCCTCCACTGCTCCACCACCAGCAGAACTGTCCTGGGTCCCAGCATCTCCAGCACCTGGGCTTAGGACATGTCCAGCTGTGGATCGATGGTGGCATTAGGGGTGCAGTTCATTGCAGGTTCACCAATGTCAGATATCAGGTTATAGTCTTAATGAGCCAATTTCCACAGAAATACAAAATATGGCATTTGGCTCTTACATGAAATGAGAAGTCTGCAGAATCTAAAATATGAGCTGGTTAAAAAGATAGAGTTTTTTTTAAACCTGTCCAACAGGAAAGCAAACATAGCTTGTCATATTTTCTTTTGTTTAAATTTGAAAACACTATATACAGTAGAAAAAATATGATTAGCAGGCAATAGGTAATGAAAATAGGATGAAAATAATTATCCACATATAAGATCTAAGTAGGATACAGACATGACTAACAGCTTCAAGGATTGCATATCTGACTGTGACTTGCAGCACTTTTCCCAAAAAACGAGGTCCTCCACACAGCCATGATTCCAGATTCCTCCAAAATTGTCAGCGTTAAAGCCTCCAGCAGAGATTGAGCCATCCTGTGACTAGAGAGATATTCTCAGTTACAGAGAGCAAGTATTTCCCTTTTGGTGCTTCAGGGGTTGAAGTCATACAAGGGTCATTGAGAGCAGTAGAGTGACACAGTGAATCAGGACACTTCTTTTCAACTTCAAAGTCTGTGATAGCAAACTCCTGCTGTGCAGAGGTGTGATTGAAAAGAGCTCTGCTATGGATATTTCCAGGTAGATACTCCTAGTTGGGCTAAAATCCCATAATTTTAGAACGTGAAAGAGATAATCCACTCACTGGACGTCCACCCATTTCCTCTGTGGTTAAATTCAGCATTTAGGGTTGACTCGACAGCTGTAATATATCCAATCATAATATGTAATCTGTCCTCTTGGTTTAAGTACGATGGATTCTTTCTTCCAGCCCTTATTCTCACTCCTCAACATCTCCATAAAGAATTTGTTCATTCATGGCAGACGAAGCTTCAGTTTCTCCTCGAATCTTTGGACCACATTTGATAGAAAAGGTCTGTTGTCTTTGTGTTCCTTGGAATTCCACTGGTTAAAGTCCTCTACCCACCTCCTCCCTCTGTCCTCCCTCTTTGACACCAGGGTGAAAAACTAGCATGGGCCTATATATTCGTAAGGTATTCCCGTTTGGCCTCAAGCTTCTGTCTTAGAGCTTGAAGAGTTTGCAGACACTTAAAAATCAGAGGAGAGGCAAATGTCAATAACCAGGCTCACGTATTTCCATGAACAACAGTCAAACATAGAGGATGTGATTTACTGTATGTGTGACACAATAAAGTATGTTTAAAATAACATCAGCAAATGTTATTGATAAATCACCTTTACGCCCAGTAGCCGTTTCTGTGCCTCATCAATCAATTTTCTTTCTGAAATCCTTATCTTCAGCTGACCTGTGTACATACCTTTACTGTTTATTAAGCAGTGATTTTACTGAACTCTGCCTAGTGTGGGTCTGCATTTTGGGTCTGTGTTTCGATCTAGTTCTGATACAGACAGAAGTGACAGTCGCCATCGTAAACTTGCACTTTGCCAAATCTACAGTGTGCTTGGCCTCCACTCAAAGAGTGCATGGGTGCACTGAAGATGAGAGTGCCAAGTGTCACTGGCCAAGGCAAATCAATAAACATAACAGCACTGCAGACCTGACTAAAGACAGTTCCTCAGCTTTTGAAACGTCACATTTGGTGACTGCATTAACCGTTCTGAAATCTGTGCAAAACCTGGACATCTTGCACAGAGATGCCCAGCTAGAGAACAACAGCACAACAATGTCATTTTCATCTATGTACTTAATTTCAGGGTCAAGATGTTTTAGTTTTGCAGGTGACATCACAGGCTAAGGGACCCCATCAGCCTCATGACGGACACTGAGCTGACAGTCAGCACACAGGACGCTCAACATCATTAACATTACCAACCCTAAGAGCTGGCTCACGCTGGTTTTAAGCAAATTCACATGGCACAGTTGTTTTTATTTTTTATTTCCTGGTGTTGCAATGAAATAACAGACACCTTATCAAGTGCTAAAACCAGCCTGATCTCCCGGTGTCAACTTATGTTGCACTGGGCACTGAGCGTAAAGTTTTTCATTTTATTTTGAGACATTTGCAGCTTTTCTATGCTCATAGCAAAATCAATCACAGTTTTCAGTGGTTCCGTCTCCATCCGTTTCTTTTAAAACAGAGAACCACCAGTTTGATGGAATCTCTCCAACCTGACTTTGAGCATGCTAAGCTGACGAGAGATTGTTCTTTATCTTTAACAGTTTTAATACCTGCACAAATATGTGACGAGACGTTTTAAAAACTGCCTAAATATATTATTAAATGTTTATTGTTGTGAAAGGGCGAACAGACTGAGGACCCCTTACCAGCATAAGTGTTGGTGTCTAGCTTTCGCTGTGGTTGTTTTATTTGGTTTTGTTCATCTGTCTCTTGAAATATTTTAACTCTTTTTTTCTGCTTACCTCACATATTCATTCACACTTTTTTTCTTACAAGTATTCTCTACCTCAAAAGCTTTACTTTCTTCTTCCATGTCAGTACGTCTCTTCTTTGGCTACTGAAATTGAACGAGAGGCCCTCTGCTGGTTAACAAGAAGTACTGCAATTTATCTTTTAGTCAAATCTGTTTAAAGTGTCCATATTTGTACTGAATTTATTTGTGTTTCAAATTATTGTTATGTCCCTAATATTAATAGTAAATAGTGAATGTTCTAAAACCATGTATACAAATATATGCACAAAAAAATCTGTCCAAAAATTTCTTGAAAACTTCCAAAGAAATTATTTTTTATTAGTGATCATCAATAGTTGTATGTGTTGTCAGCCAGACATATTTCTTTTTTTTGTAAAAACAAACATACAATCAAAGAAAAATACTAGTGGATCAACATTTAGTGTAATTATTTCTATAACCAAAACTGGAAAAGGAAAAAAAAAAACTACCATTTATCTATGCGATATCTAAGAAGAATAGTTAAAAGGACATTTGTTTTTTATCATTATCATCAAGAACTTAATATATGTTGTGTTTGCCACATGGGGGCACTGTTAAACCATGAAAAGGCCGACAGTGTTTCCATGTTTTCTATCCAAAGGCATTCGTAAATCTCCTTTATTGTTGATGATGAAAACACTTATTTTTTCCTAAAAACTTAATTACAAAATTAACATTTGCCTCAGCACAAAAAACCCAAAATGATAAAAGTTTTGTTCTTTTTATGATATAAACTGTACAGGTAGTGTGTCTAAATATACTGCTGCAAAATATGGAAAAAAAAGGTTTGTTCATATTTTGTAATGCTGATACAGAACAATGAGCAACAAGAGGCATGAAGTTAGCTGAAATACTTACACTGAATCTAAATGTTTTAAGGAATTAGAGTAATTATAAGGTCAAAATGAAACAACCAATTAATTTGATTACTTTTAGTATAAAAAGTGTAGAAAAAATAAAAAGGAGCTCTGACTCCAAAGATACAATTGTTTTCTGTCACTTGATAATCTGTTATATTTCAGCCCATTTAATTATCTGTTTATTATTATTAATAGTTTAATGATTCGATTTAGCAATGTGTTATATTGTTATATTTCAGATTGACAAATCTGCTCTCACGTTTAAAAGAAAAAATAACCTTACCGTCCAACATAAAGGGTTGAACAAGATTTTACAACAAGATTTCAAAATCCATTTAGCAGTCAGTAAAAGAACAGATGTAGTTCCTGTGTCAGATCTGTGATAGGCTGAGAAGAAAGGAGATGGTCTCAGGGGCCGCTGGTCCATCAATGCCTGTGCTTGAACAGGGCTTCCACTAGGAAACAAATCGAGGTCAAGTAATTAAAATACAATTAAAACAAAACTCTATTACCAATGCAGACACATTATTTGATAGAAGGTAGTGTTGGTGTTTTATTGATTTGCATTAATTTGTCAGTTTAACATTAAAATAATGAAATAAATATAGTCAATGGTTGCAGTTGATAGATAGTACTTTAAGTTAAAGTAAAATTAAGAAAATAAAAACAGTGTCACATGGTCCCACATATGGTCTCTGCATTGTTCTATCATTTTGCCTTCTATCTTGTACCAGAGCGCAAGGCCTTTGGATGGACTGCAATAACATTTTGTACAGACGTTCAAATTGGATCTTAATATCAGTTGGAGAGGGACATGCGCTTCACCAATGAGGATTCTCAGGAGGGTGCTTAGGCCCAAACTGCAAAAAATGTTTACACGCATAAGCGACTGATTTTGTGATGCAAGCCAAATAAACTTTGAAATGTAAGTGCTTTGTCCTCCTTAACTTAGAACTTGAGATATACTGCCTTTATACTGTATATTTTTTGAGAATCTCTTCTAAAAGTATCATCAGCTGCCAATTGGATAGGCTAATAGCCAACAAATATTTATAGATAATTCAAAAATGTTTATCTCTTACTTGTGAAGTCCTGGGGGACATTGGTGCACTCAAGACATCATTGAAGTGCTTCAGCCAATCCTGCTGGTCACTCTCCGTTTCACATGTAAAGAGGAAGCTGCGGTCAGGGGTTTCTATTGTGATACCATGTTGCCAGGCGCCATTGCAATGGGTGCCAGCAGGAAGACAAGGGAAGACGCTGTAACCGTGGTCCTTATTCCCCAAAAACACCTCACCTTTGGCAAAGGCATCCTAGAAACAGAGAAAGGGAAAACAAATATAGGCTAAGTGTAAAGAACTGAGCCTGCCAACATGTTTTTTTCAGGATAGTATCAAAGTGCTGAATCTTCAAAAAAAGGTAAGGTAATTATGATTTTGTTTCAACTTAATGGAAATGTGTGATTTTTGCAAAAAATATTTGTTCTAGTTATAGAGCAGACTCTATCATCAATATGAGCATGTTATTATGCTGGGAAGATTAAGTCCTTCTGAGCATCAAATAGAAAGTCTCATACTTAACTTTTATATAGCATCTAGCTAGCTTGTTAGCCCCCTTCTTTGTTTAGTCACTCTCCATTGACAGAGGTTGAGAAAGCACATAGACCTTTAAGCAGGATAGCTACATGCTAAGACCATTGTATCCGTACATTTCTAAAACATAGGATGGAGTTCTTTGACTAAGTTTCGCTGTTACTAGAAGGTGATGTAACTTTATTCATTCAAATGAATCTGGCTCTAGTGCAAGTACAGAGGGAATAAACTGCACTTACAATAACAGTGGGCGATTGTGTTCACAACATCTTACATGCATTCATTTGCTCCGGAGTGATCAAATTACAATTTCTTTGAGCTTCCATTTTCGCTAGACTTCCTCTTCTTCTTTGTCTGTCTAAGGGGGGAAAATGGACTTCTCAGTCACTTAGCATCCATCATTATTGCACCTCTTCATTGAACTATTACATCAGCAATATAGCTGAGATCTTGTGGCTCAGCTATCTGATGTGTGTTAAGCCAAGTCTTGGGAAATCTGGATTGCCCCATCTCAAGGCGAGTCTCTGTGATCACTACTTTATAAAAATTCCACTCCCGTTACTTGATGAGTCAGAAGCTCAGTTTCCAAAATTTTCACATTGTTGAGCACTGTTATCAGATGATATGGTGCAAGTTTGCCCATATGGTGCATACACAACATACCTAATGGAAAGTCATGGCAACAACTACCATACAATAATGTTTTACTTATGAAAACTTATCACATCATCTTTTC